TCATCCTTATCTGCATCCCAAACTTATCTCTGCACTCTCCACCATGCCAACCAACAGACTGGGTAAATAATGTCAATGCTCGGTTACCCGTGGCGGCGGGTTTAACAACGTGAATCTGAGCCTTCATTTAGAACCACGCAGGAAGTCATATTATTCAGGTAGGCGCTGCACATTGTTAAAGAACTGCATTAATTGGCAAAGCTCCAGTAATGAAAGTAAATCCTTGTTATCTTATTGCTTCTCTGGGATATCTGAACTAAGTCTTGATTCCTTCAGATTAATATCAACACGTAGACGTGGTGTAGCAGCACAGTGGCTTTGATCCTCTCAAGCTTTATCTGCACAGTTGAACTGTCTTCTCTCCTTTGCTTTGTGAAATCCAGCAAAGCTTTGCGTGCTATCTTTTATCATCTTCAGCTCCTTTGATTTTGCATTCACATATTGTCTGGAAGTGTTATAACAGGTTGGCTCGGCTTGAGTGGTCAGAGAAAAAGAACAAAAGGCTGATATGCTGTCTGTACTGTTAACATAATTGGGGCAGTTTTTAAAAGTGTTGAGATGTGATTGCTGTTGGAAACGGTCACGGAAAGAAAAAAGAGAGAGACGAGTGTTGTAGCCATAGCAGCAAGACGAATATTGTTTGTGTCACTCTGTGGCATGTCAGTGAAATCTCAGCTGGTTTTTCAGCATCTTAGGAAAACATGCAGTACATATGCTTGACTGAGCAACGCCACATCCAATCAAGGCCATAAATAATGCATGTTTAAAGCTTGACTCATGTTTTTGAAGTTTAAAGCGAGAGACAGAACCACCTAATGTCTTGCACTGTGGGCTGATACATGCCTGCCTAATGCAAATGTGCGCCTATGAGACTGAGATAACATAGATATTTGCATTAAATGACTTGTGTAGACATCGCTTATCTTTTGTTATCATTTATAATTTAATTTGCTGCAGAAAAAAAAACACGATAAACTAATAAAAATAATATGTAATACATTTTGTAAATAGAATATTCCAGGTGCAATGATGCATGACCTTGTGTCTTTATATGAAATCCTGGCAGCCGCATGAGAAAAAGCTGCAGAAGAGAGAACCGAGGTCCCCATCTGTCACTCAGTTTGTGCTTCACTCCTGAACCAAACCTCTCTCAGAGCTATCTTTCACCCTTGGGGTATTCCCTTGATGTCTGCAGTGGCGTGGTTGATGGCCGTCATTGTTCAACTCCATTTCACATTTTGACAAGGCAGCTTTTCAAGGCAAACAAACAACCATGTTTCTCTTCTGCAATGTGTTCTGTTTACTCATTTGCATTCATTTTTATTCGCAAATGGCTAAGTGGATCAAATCTGTTTTGTAGAATAGAAAGGCTTTATTATGTGTTCTCATTTTTAAAAAGTGTGCTGGAGATCCTAGTGGGGTCTTTGCAGTGCAAACACTATATGCAAAGTCACACGTGACCCCTGATTACCAGCAAAGGGAAAGAGACACTGAGCCAGGAGGGAGTGAGAGAGATGTGCCGGGTAGTGCTGATTCACACAAGTTTCACCTACACTAACGGGAGCTGTCTGAGGAAAGAAAAGGAAGGGGAGGAAGTGGAGAGATAACAGGAGACAGTAGTGAGGATGAGATGGTTATTATGATTCATATGAAATAGAAAAAAAAAACCTGCAGCCAATCTGAAGTTGGATGGTCTGCCGAACAGACTGGAAAGGTAGAGAGAAGAAAATATCTGCAGAGGATAGAAAGGAGAATAAATATGCAGGCAGAGGAGTGTAAGGATAAGGAGAGGAGATGAGTGGGCTGAAAGCAAGTCTATTCTTCCGTCTCACTGGGGAGTCATTCACTGAAATGTTGAAAGTGCAGCAAAAGTTCCTTCCTGGTTCATACTGGGCTCAATTAAGCTTGAAAGAGAAATGCTCTGCAACCCGGGATGCAACCACCAGGGGCTCCACCGCTGACCGCCACCTAAACCACAAGGCACTGGTCCTTGTGGCACATGGGGCCCGGCCAGGCGCAATTTGAAAGCGAAACATGGGGCCCCATGTGCCACAAGGACCAAGGCCAAGCTCCAGTCACTAGGTGTTTTCCCTCGAGCCTAGCTGAGGTAGATTAGGCATTTGGCTAGAAGGCCTTCTGGGCGCCTCCTGGGTGAGGTGTGTTGTGTATGTCTACCTAGAAGGAGGCCCCAGAGCAGACCCAGTACTGAGTCTAGCTTGGGAACACCTCAGTGTCCCCCCAGAAGTGGTCTGGGTATCTCTGCTTAGACTGCAGCCGCTGCAGCAGAGAGGAATGGGTAGACGTTCAAAAGGAAGCAACGATAAGGACTAACAAATAGTTTTTCTCTTTTTAAACATCTTAATTCTTTTGAATATTAATAATGATTATAAACCTTAAACAGCTGTCCTTGAATGAGGACAACTATTTAATATAAGCTGTTTAAACATAAGCTGCTTTCACACAAAAGAGCAGGAGAATAATTTCACAACACTGTCTGAGGTTATCCTTTCTCACAGTGCGAGGGAGTAGCCTGGCTAAAGTGTGCAGGAGGCAGGAGACAGGAGGCAGCCACTCACAAGACTATAACCTTGGTTTTTCTGACACCGATGCAATCAAACATTACATCGACCTCGTACTCTGGAGCTGGCAGGTTAATGTTAGAGACGACTGGATTGGACTTTTGTGTTCTCACGTGCATCTCTGCAGAATAATCTTTAGAAAAGGGTCACCGTGCAGTGAATATATGACATGGGACAGATTTATTGATTCTCCGAGTCTCTGCAATGTAGTAGAGGGATGAAACACCATTCTTTCAAAACAAATTCCCTAATTTGGTGTTTTGATGGTAGTGTAAGAGAGCATCTGTCACAGGTGTTCGGCTGTGTTGAGAGTTGGTGACTGTGAAGGCCTTAGCATATGATTCACACCATTTTCACACTCATCAGACCATTCAGAGAACACTTGAGACCTGGGGATGCTCAAAGAGACCATTCCCATCAGGATAGAGATGTCTCATCACAGGATAAAGGTGATCACCCAGAAGAACTTTGTATTGACACGGCAATCCTTCTTTCCAAGCTTTCGAATAGACCCATCTTATCATCAACATCACGGGAGGTTCTGAGCTTAATTTCTTGATTACTTTGTCTCTACTTTGTACACTTATATTTAGAGTAAAAGCATGCATTGACTTTTCCTATAAAGTGAGATGAATAACCTTTGAAATTTCATGAATCATCCATAAAATATCAGAAAGTAATGGGATTACCAACTCCATTATTTCAAATGTCTTTGCTTGTCTGACAAACTTTTTCCCCAAAAGGGAAAATGAAACAAGCAAACAGTAACAACAAAAAAATAATTAAAAATAATAATAAT